TGACGACATGCTATACTATGACGTTTTTTCGTGATTTTTGACGACATGCTATACTATGACATTTTTTCGTGACTTTTGACGACATGCTATACTATGACGTTTTCTCGTGATTTTGGACGACATGCTATACTATGACGTTTTTTCCTGATTCTTGATGACATGCTATACTATGTTTTTTTCATGATTTTTGACGACATGCTATACTATGACGTTTTTCTTGATTTTTGACGACATGCTATACTATGACGTTTTTCATGATTTTTGACGACATGCTATACTATGACGTTTTTTCGCGATTTTGGACGACATGCTATATACTATGACGTTTTTTCGTGATTTTGGATGACATGCTATACTATGACGTTTTTCTTGATTTCGAACGACATGCTATACTATGACGTTTTTTCGTGATTTTGGATGACATGCTATACAATGACCTTTTTTATGATTTTTGACGACATGCTATACTATGACGTTTTTTCATGATTTTTGACGACATGCTATACTATGACGTTTTTCATGATTTTTGACGACATGCTATACTATGACGTTTCTTCGTGATTTTTAACGACATGCAATACTATGACGTTTTTTCGTGATTTTTGACGACATGCTATACTATGACGTTTTTTNTGCTATACCGTGATGTTTTTCATGATTTTTGACGACATGCTATACTATGACGTTTCTTCGTGATTTTTAACGACATGCTATACTATGATGTTTTTTCGTGATTTTTGACGACATGTTATACTATGACGTTTTTTCGTGATTTTTGACGACTTGCTATACTATGACATTTTTTCATGATTTTTGACGACATGCCATATACTATGACGTTTTTTCATGATTTTGGACAACATGCTATACTATGACGTTTTTTCGTGATTTTTGACGACATGCTATACTATGACGTTTATTCGTGATTTCTGACGACATGCTTTACTATGACGTTTTTTCATGATTCTTGACAAAACACCAAAACACACGGGACAAGATGTTAAAATCCTTTGTGCAAGCACATACAAGAGTCAATTGGCGAACAGTAGATATGAGCTAAGATTAAGTTGTAAATTTGGGATGCAGTAGTGTTCCTTTGGTTCCTGGGGTGTTTTGGCCATTTACACTATACACCCTCACCAAAGGCAGCAAGCTACAGGGTGATCAGTCCTGAGTTTGCATCCCATGCCCAATTATTCATGATTATTTATTGCCATTTATGATCAATTATTGCTATTTGGAGACCAGCAGGGATCCTTCCTTTTCAGCCAGAGCCACTGGCTGCTTCTCTCTGCTGCCTCCGATGCAGCTTTGATGGCCAAGCGCTGGCTCTGGCCCCTGATTCCCAGGTCCCTCAGTAGTTTGGTGGTAGATGTTGCCACAAACCCTCTGAACCCAAACTCCACTGGGCGGACTTCTGTTTTCCAGCCACAATGTTGAGCTTCAGCAGCTAGTTGGGCATAGCGCAGGTGTTTTCGCTCATATGCCTCGTCCACTGAATCTTCCCAGGGTACGGTGAGCTCAGTGATGTAAATCTTCTTTAGAGAAAGGGACTAGAGTAGCAAGGCAGGTCTTAAGGTGGTGGCGGCAATCTCTGGAGTGAACACAAGCTGCCGTCTGATATCCACCAGCAATTTCCAGTCACGGGCTAAGCCAAGCTTGCCTCTCTTAAATGGTGTGGAGCTGCTCCTGCTTATTTTTGCCCCCACACGGACATAGGCTGTTGTACATGGGGGGTTGGAAACTGGTGGTGGTTGGGAATTGATGGTAGTGCACTAGTCCTCCAGGGTGGATGCTAGGGTCTTTAAAACTTGGTTGTGACACCAAGTGTGCCGCCCTTGGGTGAGGCTGGTTTTGCACCCTGTCAGTATGTGCCGGAGGGAGGCTGCCATGGAACAGAGGGCACACCCTGGATCTTCACCAAACCACTGATAAAGATTGGTTGGTGTGGGAAGGACGTCGTAGGTAGCTCTGATTGCAAAGCTCAAGCCTCCTTGCTTCCATTTCCAACACATCCTTCCAGCTGAACTTCCTCCTCTCCATGGAGTCCCATCGAGTCCACTGTCCCTGTTTGCCAAGGGAAACTGCCTTGGCCCACCTTGCAGCCTCTTCCTGATGGCGTACTTCCTCCACCACCATCTTCCTCCATTCTGGTGCAGTGGCCTTACCCCAAGCAGGGCGACTAGGTGCAAGTCCAAGGCCTCCTCTTCCTTGCTGAACATGCCCCTAAATGTCAGCATGTCTGAGGGCTGATGTTGCCTCCCCCACTGCTGTTGCTGGTCTCCATTTGCGCCCAGTTGGTGCGATCTTCCTCACTGTCAAGTCCTTGGATACATTTAGTGTCATTTGGAGTCGTGTTTTTGCGCACTTGAACTCCTCCATGAGACTGGTGAGGGGCAGCTTGAGGACACCACCTCCATAGAAGCCTATAGTGGTGAGGCATTGTGAAATCATGGGGATTGGATCATCTCTGATGAAGAACCTCAGGTCAGTGAGCACTCCCTTCATCATTGAGATGCTGCGTGACTTGGATGGTTTGATCTTCATCTGGGCCCAACTGATGTTCTCCTCTAGTTTTCTGAGCAGCCTCTTGGTACATGGGACGGTGGTGGTCAGAGTTGTAATGTTGTCCATGTAAGCTCTGAGAGGAGGGAGGTGCAAACCAGAGCCAACTCGCTGTCCACTAAAACCCATTTTGAGGCACAAATAATGACCTCCATTGCCATGGTGAACGCCAGACGAGAGATGGAGCATCCTGCCATAATGCCTACTTCCAGGCATTGCCAAGAGGTGGTCAACTCGGGGGTTGAGAAGCAGAATTGCATGTCCTGGAAGTAGGATTTGACCAGGGTTGTGATGTCGTCCGGAATGTGAAAAAAGCTGAAGGCAGCCCACAGGAGACCATGGGGCACTGAGCCAAAGGCATTGGCAAGATCCAAAAAAGACTACATGGAGGTCCCTTTTCTCCAGCTTTGCCATTTGGATCTGGTGCCAGATCATACAGGAGTGCTCGAGACATCCAGAGAAAGCCGATATTCCCGCCTTCTGTACAGATGTATCAATGTACTGGTTTCTCTTCAGGTACTTGGCCATCCTCTGAGCAGTGATGCTAAAGAAGGCATTACCTTCCACATTCAGCAGGGAGATTGGGCGGAATTGGCTGATGTTCACTGCATCCTCTTCCTTCGGGATCAAGACTCCAGCTGCCCTACGCCATGTTTTGGGTACAGTCTTCTTCTCCCATGCCGTTCCCATGAGCCTCCAGAGAAACCTCAGGACATCTGGTGCGTTCTTATACACCTTGTACAGAACACCATTTGGCCCCGGGGCTGATGCTGTTCTTACTCGATGGACTGTGTTTACCACCTTTTTCCAGGTCGGAGGGCCACTCTCAAATTGATGTTCTGGGGAGTCAATTGGTGGGATGTCCAAAGGGATGGCCAGATGTTCATGGCGTCTTGGATCAGAATGAGTTGTTTTCAGGTGCTGCTCCAGGTCTTCTTTAGTTGTTTTTAGAGTTCCAGTTTTCTCTTTGGTAAAGAGGGTTTTTAGGAACTTGAAGGGATCTATGTAGAACCATGTTCTTGTTTGTTCTTTACACCTTCTGCGTTTCCGCAAGTTCTCTGCTCTGCGGAGGGATGCCAGGCAGATCTTAATGTCAGCTTGCTGAGCGGTATCCCCTTCTTTTCTGCTTCAGAGGCCTTTTTCCACTGCTTCTTGAGTTGTCTCCTCTCTTGAACGAGGAGCTTGATCTCTCATTGCCTCCTTGAAACTGGTGGGGTTGGAGCTTTTTTTGCACTTTTCACCTCTTGAATTCCAAAATGTTCTGCCCCCTACTGGTAGATGATGTCTCCCATTCTCTCCAACTTTTTCTCCAATGTCCCTTGAAGTTGCTCAAGGGTCAGGGTCAGGTCAGTGTTCACCCTTTGCCACAGCTTTTTGTCAGCAGTACCGGGCCACTTCCATATGTATATACATATATATATATATACATATACATACATACATATATACAAACACACACACACACACACACACACATATATACATACATTTGTATTGTGAAACACAGACACGTAGGCGAGCTGTGCGACAGGGGGACATGAATATCACAACATTTTGACCAAATAGCTCAATATTGATCATGTGTGGATATCAAAAGTCAGTTATTGGTGATTACATCTCTGATAATAATCAGTAATGATGATGTGATGTAATGACTGCAAACAGCAGAACAGAGCAGTGAGCTCAGAACACATACAGTGTGTGTGTGTGTGTGTGTGTGTGTGTCACCTGTGGTCTGACAGACAGCGCTGCAGTGAACGCCTCCACAGCCTTGTTAAAGTCAGAGCTGAGGTTGAAAAGGACGCCCAGTCCGGTCTGCAGGTCCGGATCCACACAGTCCAGATTCAACAGAGCCGCATCCTGGAAGAGGAGCAGGACGTCCTGCAGCTCACACCTGCACACACACGCGCGCACACACACACACACACACACACACACACACATATATGGAGTTGTCTCCATGGAGATGGCAGCTGAGACTCCAGGGGTTCATCCCAACACCTGATCTCACATCCATGTTTCATTCACCTGATAGACAGACAGATTCTCTGACAGACAGACATCCTCAGGGCTTAAAGGGAAAAATTTTCCTGAGCCTGAAACCTGGGGGGGGGGGGGGGGGGGGGGGGGGGGGGGGGGGGGGGGGGGGGCAATATAAGTTAACCTGTCTCTCATGTGTAATATCAGGAAGGGTGGTCGGTAAAAGACTTCTGTGAAGGGTGCACTTGTGTATCCTCTCCTCTCTCCTCGACTTCTCTGAGCACATTTAACGTATTGATACATCAAAATGTCTCAATCAATTTCTGGGTCAAGTGATCGAGGATGAAGGAGTCAAGGAGTCGAGGAAGGATACTGGGCTTATAATGATTCAGTGAGTCTGATCTAATGTCCCTCAGGTGTTCGTACCTGGCTGGTGATGAGTTGTGGGGGCTCCTGCGAGGTGTGGCCGGGGAGCCTTGTAGCGGGCTCCTGCGCTCCACCACCAGGTGTTTGTATCGGGGGTTGTGGCTGATCCAGCGGCGCAGAGCGTCGCACGCCTCACACTGCATGCCGACATTGGTGAAGCTGACGGCGAGCGCCATGAGAGCCGGCAGGTTGTTGGGGCGGAGTTCCAGACACCTGCGAAGGGTGACACGTTAACTTAGCAGCAGTTAGCTAATTATCGCTTTAATAAAAAATCACAAAACAAGTCAAACATTGAATGATAATCAATAATCAGAGCTCAGAGACTGACTGACACATGGCTACATCCAAATCACCCAAAGCAAAACATCTCTGTAGTTTGTTGGAGTCAAACAGCAAAATACAGTAGTTTAATCAAATAACGTGAAGTTAGAGATCAACAGTGTGTTAGTATGTATCTTTACGTCCCCACTGACCACTGGATACTTGGTCAAGACCCCTGGGGATCATGTTCCGACATGGCAGACGACATGGTGTCAGAAGTGCGAGGCTTACTGATGAATGGACAAGTTAGACTAATTTTAGTTGGACCAAGGTCAAGTTAAACGTGTCAAGGCACCATTTTAGGTTTTAGCATACATGCCACCATCCGATACAAGCTGTGTCTGGTCACATGTATCACACAGCTTCTGCCTGAAGCCATGCTGATCAGAGCTCCCAATTAAACATGCATTAAGAAAGAACTCTGTGATCGGCCTCATCCTTGAATTCTCCAGATCATCACAGAAACAACTACTCTCACTGATGATGGTGACAATGATGATGGTGATGGTGATGGTGACGATGATGATGGTGATGGTGATGATGGTGGTGATGGTGATGATGATGGTGATGATGGTGATGGTGGTGATGATGGTGATGATGGTGATGGTGATGGTGATGATGATGGTGATGGTGATGGTGGTGATGGTGATGATGATGGTGATGATGATGGTGATGGTGGTGATGATGGTGGTGATGATGGTGATGATGGTGGTGATGATGATGGTGATGGTGATGATGGTGATGGTGATGATGGTGATGTCAGCTGTGATTGGTTGGTCCTCGTCACATGACGTGATGCACGCTGCTGCCTTCCAAAAGTTCAAGTCCAAAAGTTCAGTTCAAAAGTTCGCCCTCAAATTCAGTGAATTTGAGGGCGAATAAACGCAGCATGTGTTTCGGAGCCTTTATCGATTCATCCAAGGAAACAAAGTTCACAAAGTTTGATGAAATTCTGATGAAGACTTAAAGTTTTTGTTTTTATTTAGTAACAAATGAAATCAGATATTAAATGAATAAAGGGTCAGAGATCAGATCAGAATAACAACTATTCATTCATTCATTCATAAAGGGAGGGAAGTTGGTGTTGCTTTAATAAAGCTACATAAAGCTCTGTTTGGAGACACTGTGTGGAGTTTTTCGATTTTAATTTTTTCTAATTACTCTCTTTAGGATAACCAATGTGTTGAGGCCGAGGACTCGACCTGATTAAACCCCCACATGAGTCCAGACTGCTCTGAAGGTGGTTCAGTTTAAGTCCTGAAGCTGAAGGGTTGCAACAGACAGATTCCTTCATGAGTGGGTTTCAAGGCTTAAGGGTCAAAGGTTAAAGGATAAAGGTTCAGGGGTTAGGGGTTAAAGG